GGGTGGGGTGGGGGTTAGGGGAGGGGGGGTAATGTTATTTTATAGGTGGGGGTTTTGGGGTTGGGGGGGGTTAGGTTGTTTGGTGGGGGTTGGGAGATAGGGTACAGGAGGGGAACGGGGAGGGGTTGGAATCGGTTGGGGGGTTTTAGGGGGGGGTGTGGTTGGTAGAATGGGGGGGTGAGGGAGTTTGGGGTATAAGGGTGGATTGGAAGGATTGGGGGGTTTTGTAGGGGGGGAGGTTAGGGGTTGGAAGTTTTTGGGGGGGCGGGTTGGGGTTATGGGAGGTGGGGGGGGGACTTGGGGTGGATGGGGGGGGGTGGGGGTTGTTAGGAGGGGGGGAGGGGTGGGGGTATTTGGTCTATTGGATTGAAGGGTATGTTGGGTTTGGGGTGTAGGGGTGGGGGGGGTTTAGGGGGGGGGGGGTGGGGGGGGTGTGAATGTAGGGGATGTGTAGGGATGGGATGGGGGTTTTGGAGGGGGGCGTGTTTTTGAGGGGATGTATTGGTAGGGGATGTTGTATGGGTGTATGTTATTCTATAATTAATTGGGTATGGGGAAATGAGGAATGGGGGTAAGTTTGCAGGTGGGGGATGGGGGGAGTTGGGGTATGTATGGGTGGCGAAGGAATGTTAGAGGAGGGGGTTTGGTTTGGAAGGGTGGGGAAGGATGGGGGTAGGGTGGGGAGGGGAAAAATTTGGGTATGTGGGAATTGGGGGGTTGGGTTAGGTAACTGGTTGGATGAGGGTAGGGGGGGTTTATTGGGAGTTGGGGTTTAGGGGGGGGGGGTTTTAAATGGAGGGGTGAAAGGATGAGTGTGGGGGGGTGTTAAGGATTTTTTTGGGGGGGGTGGGGGTAAGTGGGGGGTGTGTGATTTTGAGGTGTGATGGGGGGGTATTGAAGAGGATTATTGGGAGTGAGTTAAAAATATAAAAGGGAGGGGGGGGGGGTATGGGGAGGTAAGGGGGGTTGGGGGTTTGGGGGGGGGGGGTGACAAATGGGGGGGGGTAGGAGTTTGGGGGGAAGTGGTTTGGGTGTAGAGATTATTTGTTGGGGTGGTATGTCAATGGGGGGGTGGGGGGAGGGTAAATTTAGGGTTTGGATGGGTGTTTTTATGTGGGGGTATTAAGTTGGGGAGGGGAGTGTGGTGGGTGGGTTATGGGGTGGATAGGAGGGTTTTTAGGGGAGGGAGTTGGATTTGAAGGGGTAGCTTATTTGGGGGGGGGGGGTGGGTAGAGGGGAGGATTGGGAAATGGGGAGGTGGATTTTAGTATGATTAGTGGGGGGGAAGTTTTAGTTGGGGGGGGGGTTGGGGTATATTTTGGGTGTAGGTTGATGTTTATTTTAGTGGGTAAGATATTTGTATGGGGGTGATGGAGGGTGGGTTATTTGTTTTTTAGCTTGTTATTGGGGGGTGAGGTTTTGGGTTTATGAGGGAGTTGGGGTATTATTGGGTGTGGGGGAGTTTGTAAGGGGATTGGAGTTTATGGGGGGTTAAACACCACTTTATTGGACTTTGTTTTGGGGATGGGTGATGGTTGTGGGGTGGGTATATGTTGGGGTATTGTTAATTGGGGAAAGGATTTTTGGGGGAAGTTTGAAGTTTTGGGGTAGTGGGGGGAGGGTTTGTGATGGAGTAAATGGTATTGGATGGAGGTGTATTAGGGTTTTAAAAGTTATGGATGGTGTTTGTTGATTTATGGGGGTGGGTTTAGGTGATTTTTGGGTATGTAGGATTGTAGGAAATGTTATTGTGGGATTACAGTCCCGGTTGTGGGAAGAGTGGTCTGTGGAAGGGGAGGAAGATGGGATAAGGGGTGGGGGTGGCGGGGGTTTGTTTTTTAGGTTTGAGTGTGGGGGTAATATTGGATTTAGAGGTGGTGATGAAAATTTTGAATAAGAGAGGTGGATTGAGAGTAATGTTGGGGATGGGTAAAAATCTGTGGAATTTTGGGATTTTTAGTTGATAAGTTTATGGTAATTTTTCGTTCATTTGTTTGGGGGTATATGAGGGGTAGGGATGGTTGTATGAGGTGATTTTGGTTTTTGAGGGGGAACTGTTGAATAGGTGGGGTGTGTGTTTAGTGGATGGTATGGAAGGGGGGGGGAGGGGGGTGATAGGGGTGTGGGTATAATTTGGGTGTTGCAATTTGAGGTTTTGGGGGGGAGTGGGGGTAAGGGTTGGGAGGTTAAACTAGGGGGGGTAATGTTTTTTGGGGTTGTCATAGTAATTTGTGTTTTGGGTGTATGTTTAAATGTGGGTTGTTGAAAAGATATTTGGGTGGATATGTTGAATTAGGGGTGTTTGAGTGGTGATTTTGGGGTGGGGGGGTTGAGTGTGGGGGGGATAAAAAAGGGTGATAATGTGGGATGTGGGTGGGTTTGTTATTGGTTTGGGTACGTGATGATTATGGTAAATGTTTTATGGGGGGGGTATTAGTATGGATTGGGTGGTTAGGTTAGTAGTTTGGGGGTGTTGGATTTTTGGTAAATATGGAACTAAAAATTAAAGTTGTGATATAATATTGTATGTAGGGTTTTGATATGGGGAGGGGTTTTTTTGATGCGTATATTGGGTGTGGTAAGTATTTTTGTGTTTTTTGGTGTGGTTTTGGGTTGGGTTTGGGGTGATGGGGGGTTGGTGGAAAGGTAAACTGAATGGTATTGGGGTAGATTGGTTAGATGTATAGGGGGTAGTATTTTGTGGGATTTTGCGTAATGGATTTGGTAATGTAAAAAAGTTGAGGTTGTAAGAGGATTAGTTAACTGGGGGGAGTGGGGGGGGGATGGGTGGATGTGATGAAAAAGTATTTGGTAATAAAATAAAATTATAAGGATATGAGTGGGTTTGTCATAGGAAAATTGGGAGGTATGAGGGGTTAATAGTTGTAATTTGATTGTTATTGGTGGGTAGGTGGGGGAAAAGGGGTTTGAAATTAAGAATAGTAGGTTGATTATAGAATGTTATAATGATGAAAGGGTATTGGTGTGTTGGTAGGGGGGATTATTAGATATTTTAGTTGCATTTGTTAAAAAGGGGATGGGGATGGTAATTGTTGTATTTATGGGTATAATGTTAGGGATTTTTATATAATGAGGTTTGTTAATTAAGATGAATATAGGATAAACAATTATGGAAGTAGAATAATATTATTAGAAATGTTAGTATTGTTTGATAACATTAGGGAAATTAATATTTGAGGGATATTTGGTGTTTAAAGAATGAGGGAATTGGATAATAAGGGTGAGATTGAGGTAATGTATTGTTGGGTAACATGGTATATTGGAGATAATTGTTTGATGAGGTATTGTATGATTAATATATGGGGAATTTTAGATTTTTTTTTGGGGATAGGAAAGCACATTAGGTTATTTTAAAGGGGTTGTGGGAAGTTGATGTTGATTAGATTGGTTTTAATGATAATTTGCATGTTGGAATCTGGTTGTAGGGGGGATTATAGGTATGAATTTTTGAAGTATGGGTAATGTTTAAAGTAGATTAAGGTGCGGAATTATTTTGGGGGTGAGTGGATAGTATTTGGATGATAGGTAATGTTAGGTGGATTTTTTTGAACTGGATTTTATAAAGACATGTGAAGAGAGGAAGGGATGGGGTGTTGTGGTGGGTTTAAGTTTGTGGGGGTTTAGAAGTTCCCGTTAGGATAGGATTATGGGTAGTTTAATGGTGGGGTGAGAAGGTATGTTTTTTAGTTGGGTGGAATTGTTTTGATGATTTAAATTGGGGGGTTATGATTTAATTGTTTGCTAATTTTGGTCATTTATTATTATTGATTTTAGAGTCAATTAAGGTTATGAATTAAAAACCAATCTTGTGGGTTATTTTTAAAAGATGGTATGAACAGGGGATTATAATGAACAATAGTGAAGTTATTGTTTTTAAATTAACTATGAATTTTGTAGAATGACAAAACTTAAGTTGATGTTTAATTATGGTTTATTAAATAAATGGGTATGTACTTAGTTAAAGGCAATTATTTGTAATTGAGAGTTGAGGTAAGGTTGAAAATTTTGGTATAGGGTGATGGTTATAATGATGTATAAACATTATAAATGAAAAAAACTTTTGAGAATATATTAATGGGGAATTCTGGTTCATTATTATGTTTGTTCATAAAGTAGGGGATTAATAATTAAATGGGTAATAAAGATTAACAGTGGGGGTATAATGTAAAGGGGGTGATGTTCATTGAGATTAATTTTAGTGGATAGGTTAATTGGTTTAAAAATAAATTATAAGTTGTTTTTATATTGAATTAGATATAAATTTATTATTATTAAGATTGTGTGGGGGGTGGAGGGTGTGTGTTGTATTAGTTGTTATTATTTTAATGTAATAGGTAGTTGCTGGGGTTAACCCACCATTGTGATGAGCCGTTACTCCAGGTATTCCCGGGTTTTTATCTCTGCAAGAACATTTGGACTTTCAATGCTATGATTTATTCCTTATTCCACATTTTTTACATGCTGGCACTTCTTTACCCCCCTGTTTTTGAAGCATATACCGACTAAGGTCTGCATACCAGTGGAAATCCACGGGGTTAATTCCCGCCGCAACGTTTTGACTTCCAGCGCCATTATTTCAGCTGATCTCTATTACTGATCTTCACATGTGCCGGACGGTTTGAATTGCGTTTTTTGTGGACTTAGTACTTGTCCATCTAACAATTCTCCCGTTCTGGGATGATTGGTACTATCTCATACAAATGTTACGCTTTATTCCATATCAGGTCACCATATGACACAGATGACTTCTTGTCAGTTTAATTCAGTCACTTAATGTGATGAGGCTACCTTGGTAGATACCCAAGTAATGTGCTCAGTATTAGGGCTCATGTACACTGCGGGTGATAAACTCACATTTAGGAGCTGTTCAGCGTTTTTTTCAGCACCCCTGAACTCCCCCTAATGTTCTCCTATGTGTCCGTGTACACATCTTCGTTTACAGTCGTTTACAGGCAGTTGAGTTTACAGTCTTTTTTTGAACGCAGAAAAATTGCGTTTAGCAGTTGATTTTATCAGCGTTTCAAACACAAAACACTTGTAAATGCTTGTAAACGCAGCAAATAGACTCTTCCAGCTCCCAATGCTGTCCAGTACCTTTTTTATCATGAAAAATGCATGCAAAGTGATTTCAAGGTACTCAGATGGACAAAACACTGAACACAGGATGTTCCCACCAAGCTTGTCACACATTGTAATGAAAGGGAAACTGATACAAATGAGCGCAGAGAGGCCACTCCAGGTGGAAACATGTGAACAGTTAATCATGAGCTCACCACTGCTGCCTTGTTAATCATTTGCATGATAAAGAGAACTTAATTAACAGGCGCTGTGGAAAATGCTCTCAGTCAAGCACCTTAATGAAGGTGCATCTTTATTGGGTGAGACAAAGTAGCAAATATAATAAAATCTTGACCAGCCTGAAGTGAACAGTGTGAATCCAACGGACGGACCGTCCTCTCTGAAGGGAGCTGAGATCGGAGAACGCTCCTATTGGCTTCAAATCACATCCCTTGACTGAGAGCATTTTCCACAGCACCCATTGTTTTCAGTTCTCTACACATTGTAATGACCATTTACACCTCAGACCTCTCCCATCCCTTGGAAACAAAAGATACGATATGTTAATGACCATTCACACCTCAAATTCCTCATGAAGACCCCCTACCAAGTGGCCTTAATGACTCCCTCCACCAGACACCTTTCCCACCCTTGGAAACAAAAGAAATGTTAATGAGCAACTCACACCTCAGCTAATCTCAACACATACTGCTGTCTCTTCTTCTACTTTCTGTATTTCTCTGAAACAGTCTGAAATAGTTCATAATTTACCACTTTTCAGTGCATTCTGGGCATTTGGGAGGTTCTCCCTGTGCTTATATTTAAAAAAAAACACTTCAAAACGCAAACGCACTATGTGTCAGGAGTGGGGGGTCCATGGAACTCAACTTACTTTGGAGGGGTGGGGAGACCCCTGTCTCAGCTCCCCATATCCCTCTTATATGTAAGTCACCCTATGCCTGTTAGGGGTACAGGGTGATCTGTCCTAATATTGGGGTGGGGGGGTTGTTGATTGTTTAATGCCATGTGGTTGCATCCCATTGTTCTATTGTGTGTCTTGCTTGGGCGCAAACTATTATGGGATGTATGTGTTTATGGGTATTGGCTTGGTGGGGGGTGTCTCCAGCAGCCCTCCCTCCTGATGGGACTGTCTGCTGGTGTGTCTCTTGTTACTAAATGTAGATTGCCCCGCCCTGTTGTCATTATGCAGGGAGGGGGGATTATCCCCTGAGTGTATATATCTTGTATCTGTGTTAAAATAAACTAGGCTACTTCCTGGTTTACTTCAAGACTGGTGTCGTCTAGTCTTGTATGGTCTGCTGTGGTGTCTGTGGTCGGTATTCGGATGGGGAAGCAGGAGTCTAACGGAAGTATCCAAGTGCAGTCTGGGGTCGGTTCCATTACACACATAAACGCGCATAAACGCGGCTAAACAGATGGTTTTTAACCTGCATTTTCCAGCAGTCTGTTTCCATCGTTCAGAAGTGTCCCGTATACATGGAGCCTTACATGGCCTAATATCTGTTGTCCCTTATTGATTGCTAACGGTGCCGTATTCCATCATCTTTATTGGCATGTTGTGATATGCATATATTTGCTCCTGGGCCTGTATGATTATTTTTGTTCCTCTGGGGTTTACATGATCCCATTTCAATCCTCATGGGGTGATTGGAACACTTATCATCCTGATGCTCAGCTAATATGCCATCTAACATATATTTTGTAATTGACAATGACATACCGTATTGCAATTCATTTACCAAGTAAGGTGGTGTTTTTCCCCCATCTCTTCAGGGAAGCCTACCCCGCCCTCACCTAACAGCCGATCTCCTCCACTCCTCCTACCACTCCATCCCCCACAGCCATTTCCTCCTGTACCACTATCCCCTTCCTCCTAGATTGTAAGCTCCAAGGAGCAGGGCCCTCGAACCCCTCGTGTATTGTATTGTTACTGTATTGTCTCATGTTCTGTCCCCCACTATAATGTACAGCGCTGAGCAAACGTTCTGGCGCTATATAAATACTGTAAAATAATAATATAAATTTACCACTTCTGTGAATAATGGATTGTGTTTATTTCATGGAGCTTATCTATGATGTATGGTATATTTATTAGCCTTAGTTGTCAGCTCCTGTGGTAGTGAGCCCTTGTAGATGGTCAACTTGGGGTTCCCCAGGGTGTGGAGTCTAAACCCCAGCCTGCTTCTTCACCAGAGCCTCTGATGGTGGGGATGGACTTGCAGCAAGCTGGGACCAGGTCGCGTGGTCACTGGTACGCCCAGCTGAGGATGAGGAGACCGCTCAGGGGAGCAGAGTACAATGGGAGGAGACAAATGGAAATCCGATAGACTAGCCGAGGTCAGGACGGGCGGGAAACACAAGCACAGTCAGAGAATGAAGCCGGGGTTGGTATACGAGTAGTTCAATGCAGGATACAGGCAGGACAGGGGTGGACTGACCATTCAAGCACTTGGGTACTGCCCGAGGGCCCCTGGGTCAGTAGGGGGCCCCATGAAAATGCCCCTGGTAACTTTTATAGGCTTTTTGGGTGTGCTTTGAGTGTGAGCAAGGACACAGGGGCCTCATCATCCCCTATTGGCCTGGGGGCCCCATGAGTTGCCAGTCCGCCCCTGAGGCAGTAGCAAACACACAGGAGGGTCCAACAACTAGGAAGTTGCTCAGGCAAGTGGCCTGGACTGAGATTTGTCTTATATAGGCAGGAAAACAAGGAGGCGGGTTACCAGGAAGTTTGGACAGGAAAGAAATAAAAACCCCAGAGTACGCAGCAACTGAAGCGACCGGCATAGGTGAGGGCACTGTGACTGTCATCACAGTGAAAGGGGTATCAGGAACAGCACCTGCAAAGCAGGAAGTCATATTCACACAAAACAATGGACTGCAACAGCTAACTTAGTGTATTTAGGCCTTTGAGGAAATCCGGATTTGCTCCACGAGTTTTTATATTGTGAGTGTATCAGCAGAGGGATCTCACCTTGAAACATGAACAATGGTTGAGGCATTTTTTTATGGCAAGCGATTCAAATAACATCATGACCTTATTTGCTACATTATTTACTACTCTTCAGCTTGGTTACAGTTTTATCCAGTGACAGACGGCCCTTTTCCAGGGGATGACTCAGATCGTTTGTGCAGGTCTAGATCTTCGGCATTACAGGAAACATTTATTTGAGGTTATTGGCTGCCAAAGGAGGTCAACCAGGGTATTAAGTCCATAGGGTTCACATACTTTATCCTCCTGCACTGTGCAATGTTTATCATTTATGTGAATAAACCATGGCAACATCTAGGATGTTTCCAGTACCCAGTATTATGTTACTACACCACCCACCCTTGATGAGCCGTACTTCCAAGAATGATGTGCAGCAGAGCACATATATAAAGTCCTCACCAAGGCGATGCAAAGCTCCACGTATATCAGTCCAGGGTCCATAAATATTGGGACATTCGACACAATTCTAACATTTTTGGTGCTCCAAATACACCACCACAATGTATTTGAAATGAAAGTTACGAACAAGATCTTTAACTGCAGACTGTCAGCTTTAATTTGAGGGTAATATTACATCCTTCGGTATTGTATCAGTTATGTGAACGCGTTTCATGTAGGATTTTTCCCACAAAACAGTGGAAGCATATGTGCCTCCCACTTGTTTAAGGGATCTCCAAAAGTCATACCAATTGGATCCCCTCAGCTGTTCCATGGCTAGGATGTGTGTGTTTTTCCCTCATTATCCCAATTGTAAGCTCCATGAGCAGCTAAAATGGTCGAGAGTTCATTTCAAGTGTGCTATTTGAATTTGGAATCTATTGCTGTTAACTCTCAAGATGGAGATCCAATAAGCTGTCACTATCAGGTGAAGCCATCATTAGGCTGAAATAAAAAAACAAACCCCATCAGAGAGATAGCAAAGAACATTAGGCGTGGCCCAAAACAACTGTTTGGGAACATTGCTTAAAAAGAGTGGAGGAACGCATCGGTGTAGAGCTCAGCAACTATGAAGGACCGGAAGACTTATCTAGTGAAAGCTTTGTCACTCCTGTGGTAGTGATGACCAAAGATGGTCAACATTGGGGTTCCCCAGGTGAAGGAAAAACACCCCTGATGGTGGGGATGGACCACAACAGTTGGCCAGATCAAGAACACTCTCCAGGATGGTAGGTGTACTGTGTGTCAAGTCCCACCATATCAAGAGAAGAGATCGCAGGGTGAATACAGAGGGTTCCCACAAGACGTAAACCATGAGTGAGCCGCTCAAAAATACAGGAAGGCCAGATTAGAGTTTGCCAAACGAATGGGAGGAGACAAATGCCTTCAATCTGATAGACACCCTAGGACAGACTGGCGGGAAACAAGATCACTTGTCAGTGAGAAGAGAAGAGGGTCGGTATAAGGGAACAGGAACTAGTCAATGATCCTATAGCAGGCCACCTCATCAGGGGTGGACTGACCATTCGAGCTCTGGGCACTGCCCCCACTAGGGCCCGGGGTCAGTAGGCTGCCAATGGAAATGCCCCCTGGTAACTCTTAGTATTTATTTGATGTGTGTCCTTTGTGAGTGCTGGGCAAAAGACAGCAGGATGCCTCTGAAGTCCCCTATTGCCGGGGGCCCCCATTGTCATCCGCCCCTGCAACACAAGGAGCTCATAACTTTGCAGCCCAAAGGCTTCAGCAACTCATTGGACGCCCGCTCCAACAGTATGCAGGATGGGAAGACACATGACCCAAAGATGGCGCAAAAAGCAACTGGAAAAAGTCTTTTTAAAAAAAACAAGGAGGCGGGGGAAAGAAGTGGAATGTTATGCAAAGGAAGGACCAGACAGTATCACCTGACATGTGAAAGGGATCAGGAACATTTCACTTGCAGCAAGGAGTCAGAGAACACACAGGGGAAAAAAGAAACTGCAGGCTAACTGAAGTTGCAGTTTAGGCTTTACAATCAATTGCTCAAGGGATTTTTATTGTGATGTGTATTTTTCACCTTGCAAGGTTGCAGATTTTTTTTTATGCGCTGTAATAAAGTCAATTGACTTGTACCATTAACTACTCTGCTTGGGTTCCATTTTAAAGTACTACAGACGGCCCTGATTTCATGATTATAATTATTTTGTATATGCTCTAATTTTTTGGCATTAACCCACATCTAATAAGTGGGAGAGGCAGTCACAAGATTGCATTCTATAGTGTGATCCACCTATATCGCAGCATTTTTCTATCCCTTTGTATGAATAAGTGGTTTGCTAAGAGTATTTAAAGTTTGACAGTCTGCAGTTTTAAGTCACATCTTGTTTGTTACTTACAAACCTCCATTGATGAGCCGTACTAGAGCCAAAAATGTGTAGCGAGGGGAACATAGATAAAGTCCCACCAAGGCAAGCTGGGAAAGCCGCACTCCTCCACTATATATAAGCTCTACTGTTTCAGTCTCCGGGAACTTGGCCAAAAAACACTCCATCATTGGTATTCTACCCCCTTCAAGTTACCTAAATTATACCTGACATGGTCCCCCTAGGTGCTGGTGACTATGTGGAGAAACAAGATTTTTCCCCATATTTTATGCACCCTTACTGGAATGCT